CCCCCAGCTCTTGTTTAACTCTTGGTCATCCTAAAAGACAACGGGAATAAGTGCCATGCTTCCAAAAGGAAAACATTTTGTTAAACTCAAATTAACAGCAAGCTTTTACCTTAATGGCACAAAATTAGACTGCATTGGTAAAGACTTTAGTGAATAAATTTTATATTTTTATAAGCCCTTTCACTTTGACACTTTCCTGTTACCAATCAAACCTCGGTTTTCGACGAGGTGTCACCCTTTTGATTATTTATATCATTTGCCTAGTGTCACTTCTCTCTTTGCAATCATTTAACCCCCGTTTGGCGACAGAAGAGGCCATCGGGTTATAAATTATGGTTGTTATGCGCAAGTATATTCAAAAAAAAAGAATTCAAACCCTACAACTCCGTTTTCAACGCAATAATTACAACCAAAAACGAGACTTAACTGCATGCATTGAGAACAGATTGTTGTAATTGTAAATAATTTTCTAAAAATAGGAACTTTGGCACCCAGGATTCATGTCATGCCTTGGAGCGCCCTGGCCCCCTCTGAACTCCTTACAAGACCTGTAGTTCTGCAGGAAAGGGTCAGTGGGCGTATCGCTGTCACTTAAGGGAGGGCAGAAACCCTCGAGGATGAAGGGGCCTGCTAAATTAAGCGGCTAGTAAAACAAATGTAGTTTTGTCACGCTGTTAGAGTGCAGTCTTTAAATATTGCTAAAGCCCATATTGTAAGTACGATGGGGAGAAATTTTATAAAAAAAAAAGATTCGTGGGGAGTGACCTTTGCCCGAAGATTAGGTACCACGACATTCGAAGGTCTCACACAGCCGCCCGGAGCCCTCCCTGAAGCTGCATTGATGAAATGTTCATTTTTTTATTACAGGAGGACTAAGAAACAAGCACACATATCTTCCGCCTTTTAGGGATCCTCCCCAGAGTGGTACGAAACAGGCCTTTGTGTGAACTACGGCGTAGGTTTCAAGGGGAAGAATTTGAATCAAAGAAAACTCTACCTATTACTGGTAATGAGGCTTCTGAATACTGAGTTCTATACAAAGCGGTCTTAATTGAGGAAGAGTCTATCGGGGAGAGAGAGTTTGTTAGATTTTGGATGATATACCCTAACGATCCCTTTCACTATGTCAACGACCTTGTTTAGTTACACTTGGTAATATCGGGTCCTCGGATTGTGACAAAATTTGCTTCATTTGAAGACCTTTGAAAAGTTTTTTTGTACAATGATCTGGTTTCATTAGCAGTCATTGCTTCCAACCTGCGGAGTCACTGAAAGGCGTACCTCGCTTTAACTTTCTAGCCACGGATCTCCGGCGACTAACCCACCACAGTAGCTATTTCCCCTTTATAACACCGGGAAGAATGGTTTATTGTTGGTGTAAAGAAGGGTAGATTCTGTGTTAGGCGAAAGTGGAGCACCATAGCCGCAACTAAGACATCTACACTTGCACTACCCCAACAAACTGATTCAGTTTTCCCTTGTAATTGGGTTATCCCTCAGATCAAGAAGATCAGATAACTAATTCGCCAGTTAAAACTCCACTCATTAGTTTGCAACACTATCTAGTGCAACCAGTGACCAGGAACTGATAATGAAAGCGCGTCACATATTCGTGACACTGAGTTCAGATAGGAAAATCGGTGCGTCACATATATGTGACACTGCCGACCAACATGTTAAGCTCACAATTACTTAAAAAACAACTATAACCACCTTAATTTCCTTTTAATTGACAAATTAGTATTGCTATATATTTTGGTTACGGACCACTTAGGGCCCCGCCGTTGTTTTCCTCTCTCTTTGGGCTACATGGCCTCTAAACCATGCCACCAGCCCCCAGGCCCTTCTGTATATTGCCAACGCATATTCTGCCCCAGTAATGAGTGTTCTTTCGTCTTCATTTAAGTCTCGGGCAGCAACATCTGCAACTCTTGTAGATATCCCTACTTTATCATCTAGATATATGTAATCACGCCTCACCTCGTCTTTAATGCATCCTTTTACACCCCAGCTCCTGCTGTTGAACTAGATACCTCGGACTCCGTCTTTTGGAACATTGACTTCAAACCCTACTACATTGCTACAGTTTTTATCCACAATGAGGAGCATCGCCATCGCCTTCTACGTGAGTCAGGAGGCACTGCTTGCCCATGCTCCACACCCTCTAATTGGTCGCGCACCCATACTTGCCTAATCTAGCCAGCCGCATCGCCTACCCAGCCCACTAAGCTAAGGGTAAAAGGTGAGTCACTGGATGGGGAATTAGTAACCTCAAGATACTTATCCGTCTGTCCCCCTTGCGTTCCCCCCCCCCTACTCCCCCTATTCTGAGATGGAATGAGAAACCGTGTGCCAGACAAGGGGACAAGCGCACAGCAGCATGAATAAGTGCGTTGAGGAGGGCTTTTTTACCACAAAAAGTGTAGCTATGTGCTCGAATTTTACGGTTTTTTTGCCAGCAGAGCTAGAATCTCACTTGGCGCGGGATTTGGGAGGAAAAGAGTACTTCCCAACCTCCGCTCAACGGAGAAGACTGACTGAACCAAGGCTCTTCACTTTAAAAGACTTCGGCTGCATAAAAGAATGCTCTATTGCTATTAAAAATACTAATAATCGGTGTCACAAATGCGTGACATAGGTACTTTATCAGGTTGTGGTAAATGTTTGCACCAATTCGTGTTGCGACCCGAAAAATTTTGCGTCAGACGCTCTGTTGTAAGAACGATTAACTTTTCGGCATAAAGTGAACTTGCCAATTTCCACCAAATGTAAGGTATTTTGAAAACGAAACAAACTAAAGTAAATGGAGACTGGAGTTGTAAGTAGTGTTTGGAGGAACACAAAATAGTTTTAAAATCCAGGACTGTAAAAATGAAATTTTTTTTTACTAGACTGAATTTGTCGGTTGATGTCTCTTATTTCCAACTGAGTTAGATGAAAAGTTGCCCCCGAGTATTTCCTGAAGACGAATGAGGGCTTAACATCGGAGAGGAAGATGTACCGGTCTAAAGGGGCTACTGGGATGGCCCGGAGGTCACGCCGTCCAGTGGGAGTACAAAAGCAAAGTCCCACATACCCGCTAAACTAAGACAAGGAGTTGAACAAACAATCAAAGCACCACAATGAGGTCCTCACTTTATTGAATCGTGACAGTTACCGAAATGGGTAACCTTTCAGGATGAAGGTATTTCCTAAAATTTGCTCGTAGCTTAAATTCAAAGGAGGTTGTTTTAAGGGTAACTATTTTCCCTCTTTCATTAAAGCCTTATTTCTGCTTTCCAGGTAATCAAATCTTTGAGCCCTGTGTCCACAGCACACTCAGTTTGATGAATTATTTCGCGCTGACCAATTTCAATCTCCACTGTGGCAATGCCTATGGGAAATCAACAGTGTCAAGGAAAGTTGTTTTCACTAATTATTAGGTGACTCGGTATATCCGGGATGATTCACCGGTTCAAATCCAATTTGGCAGTTGCAGGTAGTATAATGCAATTTGTTGGTTGTACCTACTCATGAAATTTAATAAGTAGCATGTTGTCTTATCAGTTGAAAGAAGACATACAAACAAAAAGAGCTGTCTCTCTGTAAAATAAGTTGTTGACGAGACGATATTTATCCACCTTGAGATGAATTATCACTTCTCCATGCTTATTTACATCCAATGATTTGGTTAGTGACATACTACTTACAAGCAAATCTGGGCTTTCCGATTTAGCAAATCGTATGTCATCGCTCAGTTTGTTAGAGAAGATCGCAAGTTTTAATGCTGACATGCAGAGAGGTGGACCACACTTTTACCAAGATGCAGAAACTGAGGTGCAAAACCTAAACAAAAACTGTTTTGCCGCATGCCTACACATCCCCAAGAGCTGAGCCGTTGTTGAGTGTTTGAGTGAAACTTGAATGGTATTTTTGTGGAAAAAAAAGAAAAAGAAATGCATCGGCAAGTGACTCCTCTTGTCATCTCTAGCATGTGCGCCTTATTTTCTCCACTTTGAGCAGGCGAAGAGTTATTTCGGCTTCCCCGGATTAAAACAACTGCCAATTGTATGCATCAATTGGCAGTTGTTGAAGCACTGCAAACACAACAATTGCTTGACTTAGCTTGGACTTTTGACATTTTTTGCAAATAATTACATAAATGCCAGTAAAGAAAACCACAATAATCTTGTTTTGGACCTAATCCTAGTGTCAAAAGAGAATTTCATTTAAGGGGCGCTAAAAGTCCAGGGGGAACTCATTCACTACTGAAAATCAAATCTTCTCGATTGAAACCCATTTTAATTAAAGTAAATTAAGTTGAGACCTTTGTAACTTTTGTGCACGAGAATTAGTAGTTATTTGATGCAAATAGGTAAGCTAACTACATACTGTAACCGATGTTATCACTGTCACATATATGTGACGGTGGGGTTCCCCTACCTGAGGCCGGTGTCACAAATACGTGCCAATTCCTCGCAGTGTTCGTATTTTCGCAGTCTTTATTTTAAACAATGTTTGCCTGTTTTTCTTTACTTACTTTGCTTGCCATCGCCATCAGAAACATGGGTGGCATGTGTTCCTCCACAGTTCACCCTAACCAGTTGCACAAAATCCTGTTGCCAGCCGATATTTTAGAGAATGTCCCTAGCCCACGGTAAATAATCTCTTCAGTTTCGGAGAAGTATACTAAAGATGATGACATTGGCGTCACTAGAACAGTCACACAGGTCTAGCTGCGGTGGTCGAGTCACCTCTGAACAAATGGAAGTGAAGGCATTCATGAAACTGCATTTAGCACAAGGGTCTGGCCTAGTTTAAGTAGATCCTCTTTCAGGTCTCGAAACACTAAGTTATAGGAAAATTAGGCTTCCAAATCTGCTAAAAGGGTAATGGGTCAGTGAAATGGAGGTACCAGTTTAAAATTAATTGCTGTTGCCCGTTTAATTGAAAGAGAAACAGAATTCCTTGGAGCCTGTGACTCATTCTTTCCCTTTTTCTCCTGCTCTCAGTTGTGCCTTGTCAACACCACGGGGGAAGAAAAACGTGTTGTGCTTCTGCTGCTGCCGTTTCTGTTCCTGTCAAAATCCTTCCTGAGTCAGAAGTGGGGAGAAAAAAGCACGGTGAAGAGCAGGTACCCTGCCAACCATCGTAGTTTGCCCGAAATTTGTCAATTGTGTGAGCATAGCAGGGGGAATTTGACAGTTAACTGGTTTTTGGAAAATATTGCCATGGCTGTGAGGGGGAGGGGGAAGAAAATTTACTGGATATAAAAAACTTATAATTCACTTCTAGGGGGATTGCTTGGTCAGGTGGTCAGCTGAATGGACAAAAAGAGAGCTGAAGAAAGAGTTAAACTATTGATTACCCAGACCAATGTAAGTAAATAGAAGGTGGTTCTTTGCAGCGTTGTCGCTGAATAATAAAGAGATCTCGAGATTCCTAAAATTTCAGAATTTAGCTTTTATTTCTAAAAATACACTTAAAATTCGCAAAAGCGACTCAATGCAGAAAAAATTTAAGTGCGAGCGCTACTATGGACAATGTTAATGGTCCCCTATTTCACCACCTCAAGACGATGTAGCGCGTCAAGTCTTCCTCTGGCTTTAATAACTCCAGGTAGGATGGAGGAACATACTACTTACTAACTTACGGAATAGCTAAGAGGCCAGTGGCCTGGTCTGGAGCCTATGCGGCGGAGTAGGAGTGCTGCCTGCGTAGATGATGGGGTCCACGTGAATGGTTAAAATTCCAAGGCATTTCGGAAATATATTCTACTTAACAAAATATAAGTAGAAAAATCGTAGAAGGTGATGTCTATAGGATTTGATACTTGAGTACAGATAATATTTTCGGTAGATTGAGTCTAATCAACTGAGTAATTTCACTTCTTCAAGTTAATCGCAGTCTGTATTTGCACATCATAGTTAAAGTTGCATTTTACCATTTCGTAATGATCAGCTGTAAAATACTTAGTTGTAAATCAACTTCCAATCTTTTTAAAGTGTTTTTTAATTTATCAGTTAATTTGTGTTGAAGATTAGTTTAAAACTTTTCATCTGAAATGTGTGACACCACTTTTCATGAAGATTACGACACGGATTGAATAAATCCATTGCCCTTTGCAGCAGCGTTTTCAAAGCAAAATTCCTCCCAGGTTATTTCAAAATGTCTTAACCAATTTTTCTTTGGCTATATAATGGAGTATCTACAAGTATAAGGTAAAAAGGTGGAGACACGCCCAACATCATTACCTGGTAAGTAATCGAGTTATATTTTTGTGAGCCCTAGATCTTTCTAGTCTGGAATTCAAGTATTTTGAGTTTAAAAAAAAAAACTATAAGCAGCCTTAGAAGTGTCTAACAACATGCTCTCCCATGAGGGGTGGGGGTTAAGGTGACCTTTCAAATAACACTAAAAGACGATACAGAATGTAGTTGCTCCGATCAGTGTCATCTGCTCTCTGAAAAGAGGCGTTTTAATAGTTGGGGCCTTCAAATGGGAACATTCCAAATTTGGCAGTTGGCAGTGTGGCCAGCCCTTGCACCAGCACCTTCGCCGCGGCACATAGTCATGTACCCACACACACACATACACACACGCACTTGGGCAAATCGGAAGCGCGGCTGCCCCAATCAATGTTAAAGTGTGTCCGAGGCGGGGCGATTGCGTAAGGCACCGAATTGGTGCCTGACAGGGGAATCACCTCCCACTTCACTGAAGGGACATCAAATTGACATTCTGATTTGGATGATTAGAGGAAAAGGAAGTAGAAATAAAAAAGCATTAATTCGAGAAGATGACAATTATTAACTTGCACCTGCCACCTTTGTCAACAAAAGCACTTTGAATCAGAGTCCCCTCTGTGACATATGACCGTCATTTAAATTACTAACGTAGGTGAAACTGCAAAGTCTTTTAAAAAAAGTGTGGAAAACTGGTTTTCTACAACTATAAATAACTCCACTGCTAAGCTAAAATGCAATGCTTACTTTTGATCATGCAGACATCAACGTTGGTAAAAAGCAACAAACAAACGACCTTAAAGTACTTTTGTTGAATTTTTTTGGGTTTTACGGCTCTGTAAGGCCTTTTTGGCCTTTTCAAGTTATTGCTTTCGCCACGTATATGAGACTCTACGTAATTACGAGGGAATGAAGCCTTGTGATGGGGCGACCTGTTCCAGCTTACAATGCCGAATCGGAGAAGAGGAGTCAAAG